TGCACAAGCTTCATAAAACATCTCAAAATAACAAGGGTTGGGGTCATGTAGTCAAACGAACGACACACACTTCTTCGAAGAAATGCTCAGAGACGGAGAAAATGGGTTATTCATACTGGAGTGTTGAAAGAACCGTTGCGGACGTTGCTGTTTGCTCACATCACGCCATACTCTCGATGCAATCTCTGTTGTGCGTGATCAAGAAAGAACGAAAAGAGTCCATTTTAATCTTATCTCGTTGCATGTGACGACAGAACAGAATGAAAGATTTCACAAGGTAGAGCAAAAAAGTGCATGTTTCTGATGATTCGAAACGATTGTTTTGTATAACATTAGCATAGTCATAAAACGTTGCAAAACGATCTGCTACGCTTATCTGTGCTGCACAGCCGATGAATGAATTGGCGCAAAATGATCCGTAGTCAAACCGGATCGATTGGGAGAGCTTAGTTGCTTTGTTTCTTGATGCACATGAGACGAAACTTTTTCCAACGAAAACCAAATTGAGGAAAAAACTATCGAATCGCAAAGTATACATAGAGAATTCCTCGTCCTTAAAGTATTAGCTTGAGGCGGTGCCAAAAAGGAAAAACACGGCGCCTCTAGCTGGTCATTGAAGTGGAGGCAGAGTTATGAAAACAAATCAATAGCATGGCCTATTCGGTGAATGCTATAGCTACCGGCTCCTTTCCATTCTTTATCTTAATACTAGATCTACTGATTCTGATGTATCTCGCTGCTCAAGATAAATGACAGACAAGCGTAACGGACATTTGCCACGGCCACTTTACCTCTGCGACAAACCCATGTCAACTATCACGACAAAGTCGCAGCACGAATGCGTAACCCCATCGCTTATAGACTCGCGAAATTTCTCGCTAATTTCGAGATCACTATAAAGTTGCGATGGAACAGGATTTTCGCTATATAGTTGCTACGCGATTCCTTCCCTTTTAGTGGACGCGACGCTTTGTTCTCGCAATGTTGCGAAGCGACTTCTACCTCTTTTGATCAAAAAAGCACGGTCTGAAGTCGCGATCACGATTCATTCGCTATTGGCGCTTGATCCAGTTATAAGAATAAAAGGATTCACAATACGTACTTTCAAAGTACGCATTGTGAATAAAGAGAAGCATACGATAAATTATCTTATGCTTCTCTTTAGTTTGGTAGTTTTGCTTTTAAGCAACGGAAAATGGGATTAATTCGTATAATGTTCGATGAAAACTTCGCTTTTTTCCGAATTCATCGTTTGTTCAGCCGGTACACAGGCTGCGTATTGTAATAACTGTCAATTGGTCCTGTTCTTAGCGGAATAAATTAAACGATAAATTTGGGAAAACAGTCAACTTTTAAACGATTAATATACGAATTAATCCCATTTTCCGTTGCCTAAGAGCAAAACTACTAAAGTATCACGCATAGTGAATCCTTTTGTTGTTAAATTTCTCTTTTCTAAATGTTGAAAGTTAGCCATGTTTGGTTTATCTATTTAATTATGTCAGTTTAACTTATTTGTTCTTTACTTCGTTCTTAAGTTCATCTCTTAATGTTATCTCGTTTATTTGTTTGACGATAATCGTCTTGTTTCAGGTTGAGGACTTTTGGACCATTTTTATTTCTTAATGATCGTCCTCTTTCTGTTCCACTTAATTGTGAAATCTGCTTCTTTGCGATCTCATATATATGTATATATATTCGAATACTATAGTCTGTTAATTAATGAAAGACATTCATACATAAAACACATGGCTATTGCATATACTAGGTCGGTTATTTGCTCTTCTTGCACGTTATTTCATTTTCTTTGTTTGAGCATCATTCTTTTTTACGCTACTTTAACTCAAAACATCAAAGGTGACCCTTATTTGTCTCTTTCTTTTTGATCTTAGTTTGTTTCGTTCGAATTAGTTTTAAACAACCTTAAGCACTATCTTGTGTTCGAGTTAGCTCGGATTCGGGTCATACTTGGTTGACCCATTTCCATTCAGATTCAGGTCAACATAATAAAAATTGCCTGAATTACTCAAACTTTTCCATTGATAAAAGAAAAAATTTACCGAAACTGTAAAAAGGAATCTGATCATTTTTTTGAAAAAATTTCAAAACAATCTGACTAAGATAATTTTTCTATACGAAGAAGTGTTTCTTTGCGAATGTGTATGAAAACATTTTCATGTTTCCGATCCATTCGGGTCAACGTATGAGATATTGATTCGGGTCTGGTCGGGTTCGGGTCAAGTTTGGTTGAAGAAACTGAAATAATGTGCAAGAAGAGAAAATAGCCAACCTTGTATATATCGGGTGGTCCAGAAATAATGAGCCTTCTAGTATTTTGACTATAACGTTTTTTCGTTTTCACTCATAGCTATAATTGTTTTTCAAAAAGATGTGCCATAAAATTATCTATAAAAATTATATTGAACACCTCAAAATGTTGCATTTTGGTTGAGTTATAAAGAATTTGTGCTTTAAAACTGCAGTTGAAAATGTTCATTTCTAGCGACATCGAAAAAACAAAAAGAATCCTTCCTCAGCTACTTGTGGCTATGAAGAGTGTTAAATATGGTCACTTGATAGAGCCTTTTAAGGACTATAAAATGGTCATCTTCTCATCTTTTGTTTTGTAAAATGTAAACCGCTGAAACTGATTTTTTGGTTGGAAGGTGATCAAGGTTGAAGCTTCACAGTATTTCGTCTAGATTCTTTTATTTTTGTTGTATATAAAAGTGTTCAGTATATTTTTTGTAGAGAATTTTACGGCACATCTTTTCGCAAAACAATTATAGCTACGAGTGAAAATGAAAAAAAGTTATAGCCAAAATACTGAAAGGCTCATTATTTCTGGATCACTCGATACAATGGTCACGTGTTTTATGTATGAATGTCTTTAATTAATAAATAGGCTATAGTATTCGAATATACATACATATATATATGTCGCAATAGAAATTAGGATTCAGTAGAATACAAAAGATTTTATTAGTTGTAGTATTTCAATTTCTACTAGTGCAACTTAAAATCACCGCTTATTTTAATTTCGCCTAGCAGAAAATGAAACTTTAATTTTAACTAATAGAATTTTAAATTCTAGTGAATTATAATTTCTACTGCGACCTATATATATATCTCTATTGATATTGCTTCGCATAGAACAGCATAGAAAATCTTTTATGCAATCAATCGCTCATAATTCACTCATTTTTCGACGAAATTAAATAAGTTTTTCGCTGGTAGGCTCGCAAGACTCTTCTTTATTTTATTTTCAGTATTATTATTGATCTTCTACATAAATGTACTCAGTAGAGTAGATGTTTTTTCGACCATATTATGCGAATAATATTATGAATACAGAAAAGATACTTTTGCTTTTACGTATCTTTATTTTTGTTTTGCTTTTCTCAGTCATTTTGGTTGAAAATCTGTGAGATACGCTGTGTGAATGTCCGCCGTTTCTGTTTGATTCTGAAAAAATCTAAATAAATGTTTTGTAGCAGTTCTATACGTTATATATTCGTCTTTGCTTCGTATATATCTTTCTGAACTTCTCTTCTGAGTTAAATTACACTGAGTACTGCTTTGTTTATATAATTATTGAACAATTTATAATATATGAAATGTGTTTGTTTTTTTATTTATTCTTCTAGTAGTAATTACCCAAGCAAAACAATGCCTGTGAGAATATCTAGCTATAAAAATATGTTATCGGGCAATATCGGCTTGTGGTAGCTAGCTATCCGTACCACTTTTATTGAGTTAGCTAGCTATATCGGGTATGATAGCTAGCTACTAGATATCATGCCCAATATATCGGGTTGACGAAAAACACTGATCAGAGTAGCTATGTAGTCGATATATTGACCAATTATTGTCCGATATATTGACTCAAGTATTGACAGCATGAAGAATGCTGTCTGCATTACATCCCGAGATGTCTGTATACAGACATCCTGCTTTCTGTAATATATTTACAGAAAGCAATATTCTCCAATATATTGGTCTGGTATTGCTTAATATATTGACTTGATATGAATAAATACTTTGTAAATTTGTAAAGTATATGTTTTACATATAGAGTACAGTGGCTGAAAAACAAAAAGGTGAATAATCCAATCGTCGATATATCGAGTAATATATTGAGCTAGCTAGTTATATCTAGTAATGTATCGTGTTAGCTAGCTAAATCGCCCGATAGTCAGTATGTTTCATATGCTTGGGAAAGAGGTTCTATCTACGACCAAGAAGGCTGATTACATCGTGTTCTCGAAGAAAAAAACCAGTAAAACATGGTGGAATCGAGCCTTCAGACATGGATTTAAAAAGCATTTCTTGCGCACCAGGAGTTCCATCAGAGTAGTGAAAAGTTGAACTAGAAAACTGTGCAAAATATTACATATTCGTCAGATTCGCAATTGTAGCAAGTCGAAAACGTTCGATTTTAAAGATTTGAAAATTCTAGAGTTATAAAAATAACACGTTTAACCATTCTTATCTCTACATAATAAATACGGTTGATTAATCTTCTATAGAATACCCGCTGTCTGATATTTTGTTTTCTTGTTTGGCGATTCAATCAATGTTCAAAATATCGGGCAAGATTAGTGAGACAATATCAATATTACTGCGTGATATGAAGTTTGTGTTATTTACGAGTAGTAGTATATTCCTAGATCAAGAAACAAGCACTGTTCTTAGCTGTTGCTGTCGTCAATTTGAGTTGAACAACTAACCACAAAAGAAAACTTAATTTCTAGTAATAGTTATTGATGTATTATGCTCTATTCTACTGTATTTTCTTTCTGTATCATTGAATCATATAGCAAACAGTAACCGAATTTCGCAGACTATGTTTTAGCTCATTTCAGGAACCGCCGAAGTAGAATGAATCTGTCATTGTGAATCAGCACTTTTTTCTCACCAGTAGTGTAGTCAGATCGTAATACACAATAACATCTCCCCAAAAACAAGAGTGCCCTTTGTGCTAAGGCATATTCTTAGTGATGATTGCATTCATCTTGATGTTACATTGCCACGAATGTTTTTCGTTATCTTCTTTACTTGAAATAAAGATGATAAGACCACTATGGTCTTATCTATCAGCTGAAACAAACACCGATTTACGATGTTTTACCTCGTCCTTTTCATTTGTTCTTTATCAGAAACTAAGAGAAATTGTTCTATTCCTTTCGTGACTTCGTACATATATGGCTTGTCATTGGCAAAGTGTCTGCTTCTTTCTTCTGATTATTCAATATGCATGGTCTGATTATTTTGCAAACTTCGCCTCGTTTGACAACCGTTACCAGGGAGAATTCTCTCTGTCCGCTGTTGCAAAAGAATATTCATCGCAAAAACTTCAAGTAAATAAGTATGGCTTAACCAGATGCGCACAACAAGAAAATCAGTGTCTTCAGATCGGTATTATTGGAGCAGGTGAGTTTTCTTTTTTCTATAGGTAATAAATTGGAAGTGGAGATATAAGGGGACATTGATGGTCTAGACATTATTAATGTTAATCCCCCGTTGAAACTAAGTTAAGTCAAGATTATCGCAGCTATTTTTGCTGTATTGACCATAGTTACCCCAATAGTGCTCTCTAGAAAATGATTAATGCTAATCAATTTTAAGAAAGTTTTTACTTCAATTGATAGCCAGGAGTCACCTCTATTTACCTGTAAAATATTGCTTGTCGGAGACAAAAATTGAGCGAATTATAGCAGAAATACGACGAAATTTTGAGGATCTGACCATAATTACCTGAAGGCACTTTATCTCTATATGCATTCAGTCGTTGGATATTATGAAAAAAGGAAAAGTTGTATTTTATCTATTTTGTGTTCTACATCTATGTATTTCATTTTATCTTTTATTTTGAATCAACTATCGTCTGTCACGTTTGACTGGTGATGTCTTTTGAATAAGGACAAAACGTCTCTAACAGAAATAGTCTATTTTCATTATAAAGGTGGTTTATCTCTTATTTTCTTTCTGTATGGAAAATTTTCACCTTAAAAATTGACTTAAAAGTATCTAAAACTACATTCGAATCCAAAATTGCTAAACCTCAGGCATTTTTGTAACAAAACCATCGAAAAAGAGGTAAAATGACGGGAAAAGAGGACAAAGAGGATGGATTCTGAAAAAAAGAGGATCATTCACAACCTAGATCGCCGCCTTTTGCGACTGATCGTGCTTTTTGGCACTTGATGCTCTGAAACTTTTTACCTGTCAGGCTCTCTTAGATTGATTAACATACATTTTTTCTCTTCATTGATCTCTTCCTCTGATAATCGATAGAAAGAATCTCATGCAAAAAAGAGTAGGTATCAACTGGTCTTCGTGCTCTACGCTTCTTATCTGAAAAAGCCTTGTGATGTAGCATTCATTCATATGTTGCATGACATGAAATGGAATAGAAAGGAGAACGGATGGTTTTAACTTCCCTCCTCGCATGACTGATTCAGTCGCTTCTCGCAAATGCACTTTGTTGTTGAGCATAATTAAATCATTGCAAGTTTTGGAATAATTGAAAATAGAATCTTTGTATATTTCACTCTTGCGTAAAGATCTTTTATCTTTTTTTCTATTGACTTGTATAGGTGCTGCTGGTTTGTATTGTGGCATTCTTCTCGCCGAAGCGGGGCATACAGTTACAATTTTCGAGGCAAATGATCGAGCTGGTGGTCGAATTTTAACGTATCGCGATCCAAAAAATCCATCCAAGTACATAGGAGAATTGGGAGCTATGCGTTTTTCACTGGATACTCAACCTTATTTGAATACTCTGATTCGACAGCGATACAAATTGAATATTACGGAATTTTCCAATTTCGATGAAAATGCCTATACATATATTAACGGAATTCGCGCTACAAACAAACAAGCACATGACAATCCAAACATGTTTCAATTCAATACTAGTCAAAGTGAACGAGGAAAGGTGAGAAGACGCTTGTATTCACAGGTCCAAAATGTCATGAGAGAAATATTCTAGACTCCTGATCAATTAAGCTCCGAAGCTATGGCACCTATTTTTCAAACATACTCCGAAGGAGGTTGGTCAGCGGTTCGAAATCAATGGGATTCGTATTCGGTTGAGTCCTATTTCAACAAGATGAATCTGTCACGTGCAGCTATTGACTATATCGCCATGACTGGCAATTATGAAACGGATCTTTTTGTATCGGTTTTGGAAATCATTCGCGGTGCAATTAACGTAGGCATTGATCCCAAATTTTCTCGAATTCAAGGTGGCAATGATCTGTTAGTACAATCGATGGTTACTGAATGTCAAACAATGGAATCAAATCGATGTTCCATCGTGTATTCGACTCCCATAAGTCAAGTACGATTGCTAACATCGAATCAGACTCAATTGACAACCAAAAATGGTGTCAGTCAGGTTTTCGATACTGTGACTGTGGCAACGACGCCACATGTAATTCAGTTAATCGATTTTGAACCACGAATGGATTTTGTTCAAAAATATTTAGCTCTGCGACAAGTGCATTTTGATTGTTCAACAAAAATTCTTCTCTCTTTCAATACGTCCTGGTGGTACACTCAAGAAAATATCAAAGGCGGTGCTTCGGTGACCGATTTGCTTATTGGTAGGATTCATTATCCAAGTACGAACAGTAATCAAACGGATGGTGGAACAGTTCTTGCTTCATACACATTGTCGACATCTTCAATCATCTGGCAATCTTTATCCGAACCCGATGCCATCGAATTAGCATTAAAACAATTGATTCAACTTCATAATTCATCATCGAATATGCGTGACTACTTTCAAGGTGGAAAAGTCAAAAATTGGTGTCAAGATCCTTATGAACGTGGTGCTATGGCTTTATTCACTCCGTTTCAGGAAACTGAAATTTTTGATAAATTACAAGCATCCATTTCGAATATACATTTTATTGGTGAATATACAAGCTTTATTCATGGATGGGTAGAAGGTGCTCTCTCATCGGCAATACGAGCGGCTTTATCTATTACGGAAAAAGCACAAACAACCCATGCTTAGAAAATTGCAAAAGATACGCTATTCATCGCCGCCTGGCTTGTGAACAATCATTTTAAAAAAAAGAGGACAAAAGAGGATGTTCTAAATTTTCTTTCAGAGGATTAGCGTCGGAAAAAAAAGGAGAAAAAGAGGATTTCTTCCGATCTAAAAGTGTATTGTAGCTCTTTATGCGTATTAGTATGTTCGGAGGTGCTAAGACCCGGCCTAATTTATGTACGATTTCACACACACAAAAAAACACACTTTGTTTCTCAATGATCTCCAACATGTTTCTCAGTGATTTTTAGATAACCTTTTTCAATTCACTTCATTCATGGCTAAAAGCGATCTGAATTTCATGATGACATCTAGAGCTCACTACCTTGTGCTTCAAAGTGAGAATAAGATACTTTCGCATCTCAGAAGTTTGCCTAGACGACCCTGCTGGTGCCCCTCCCCTTAAATGGCATACAAGAAAATCTAATTTATTTAATAAAACAATCTCAAGCATTTGGTTTATTTGATCAAGATGAAAAACATCAACGAAAAATTTAAGTAAAGAATCATATGAATTTGGCTTTTTCAAATGTTTATCAAATATGAAATATAATACAGAGTCAGCTAAAAATGAAATGATTGAAGTATGTCGAAGTTACTATTGGGGAAATATACGAGAACTTTTAAATATTGAACGATTTAAATTAGACTATATATCGAAGGATGCTATTTAGTGGTATACAGAACAAACATTTGTTTATCGATTAGTTAATAAAGCATTAAGAACATAAGATTTTGATGAATTATTTACATTAAGATTTTTTATTGATGCAAAGTTGTAAAGATGGTCGATTATCAACGTTGCTGGGAATGCGAAATGCAAATTTGTTTTGGCATTTGGATCAGCTCGTATGTCGTTAGGTCCAGCAGCGAAGTGAAGATTTTTAGTTAATCACACGCATATAGGAAAATGTTCATTTTTCGATCAAGGACTTGCATTTATAAGAATTCAATTCTGTGCACCTTTCCTTGTTCTTATAGAATGGCGAGTGGTTAGGGAAGTAGACAAGTGAAGGCCATTTCGACCACAAATTATTGAAAAAAACAAAGAAGTCGCATGTTTGCCTATGAATAATTCAGTCTTACAATGTCCAGTTTACTTACGGTATAAAATGACTATCGAAACGGCTATCGTTAGCATCTGCTCTTTCATGAGTATTGAACAAATCGCCACACGAAAGTTCGGCGTCCAGACCCGTTGTTTATAAAATAATGTGTTCCTCTTTTATCATTTTCTTTCAAATTGCTGAAAGGATTAGCGTTTGAATTGTTTTTTATGCTTGCTGTTTGAGTAACTAAGAATTAGAAAAAACCCAGAGATAAAAGAGGATCACATTATTGTGTACATAATGTGGAACACTGATGTATACGACGATACCACTCCGACTTCATTCAAGATGGCCTCATCAGACGATGGGCTATTCGGAACATTCTTCAAAAGGATCCTCGCGAAGTCCACGATTCTTCACGACGCGAACCCCGCGAAGGATATTTTTTCTTATGAGCGAAAGACGCTATGTTTATTATGACAAGGCATCACTATGCGAAAATTTTGTGAGGGGCAAAAAGTGAAATTCTTACGATTAACAAGATCTTCGCGGCCTTTCTAGGACTTTTCGATCAAGGGACATCGGATATCCTGAACAATAAAACAATTCGAATTTGGTTTTTGAGCTTTTTCTAAAATACTGCGAATCAGAGAGTACTAAAACGGTTACGAAGGTCTTGTTTTGTTCACAACTCAATTCTCTATCAACCAAGGCTATTTACAAAAGGTTTGGCTCTGAGGAGGTTTTCTCATGTGGGGGAGGGAGACAACTGAATTCTTTGAAGGACTTGCATTTACAAGAATTCAAAAGCTAGCGTTTGTCACGATAATGTAGGCTATTTCTAACAAAATTTTCGCATAGTGATGCCTTGTCATAATAAACATAGCGTCTTTCGCTCATAAGAAAAAATATCCTTCGCGGGGTTCGCGTCGTGAAGAATCGTGG